GGTTCAAACCCACCAGCCACTCCTCGGAAGGAAGATGGGGCAATCTACTTCCGTAGTGATACTGCCTCAGAAACCCAAAGAGGGGTCGCTATGAGTCAAGTCCAACTCAACAGCACCTAACAACAACAACAACATAATAAGAAACTATTTTTTAAATGAAGAAAGCAAAAGTACAAATAGGCAATTCAGAGAAGAAGAAACACTAACAGTCAATAGTGCATTCTAGCATCTTCTTCAAGTGGTTAACAATACATGCAAAAAAGTTGGTTGACAAAGTACAAACATTATATATGGAATGAAAATCTAGATAATGGTATTACACTAGAATGGCACACTAACATGGAAGAAATAAAATTGAAATGGCAAAGGCATTACATATTTCTATGTTATGAAATTATCCTATTTATATTAGTTAATTTATTCATCTCTTATAATCTTCTCTCAGAGCTGTGCAAAATCAAGACATCAGCTGTGTCTTATACTTTCATGAAACTTAAAACTAAAGTCATTGGACAAAGAAGAGCTTTGGAAATGCTGTTCTCCAAATCTTGGTTCATAAAAATATCCATTGAGAGTTAAAATACTACAAAATAGCCTTAGAAAATCAGAAAAATAGATCAAATAGGTTTGAAAACATTAAATATATATAAGAGGCACACATCATTATGGTAGCAAAAGTAAGATTATAGGAAGCATTATTTATTACTACATATATAAGAGAAATTCTCAGTGAGAAAGTGCTTTGCTACACAGCCTTACTTTGTTAGGACGGCATTCTGATGCACTTGACTGCTCACCAGAAGGTTGGTGGTTCAAACCTGGCAGCCACTCCTCAGAAGGAAGGTTGAGCAATCTACTGCCATAGTGATACCGCCTCAGAAACCCAAGGAGGGGTCGCTATGAGTCAGGTCCAATTCCACAGCACATAACAACAACAACAACAGGAGAAGAGAAAGGAGCTCTGGTGGTGTAGTGGTTAAGGCATTTGGCTGCTTACCAAAAGGTTGCTGATTCAAACCCACCAGCAGCTTCATGGAAAAAAGATGAGGCAGTCTGCTTCCGTAAAGATTTACAACCTTGGAAACCAGTGTGTGTGTGTGGGGGGGGGGTGTCACTGTGAGTAAGATCTGACTCCACATCAGTATTCTTGGTTTGGTTTTTTGAGGAGAGGAGAGGTCATTCTAATATTGCAGCAGAGACTGTCAGATTTTCAAATCCATTGTTATTATCCTTGTCCTTTTGTTGTTTGCTGAGTTTTGTAGATATTAATAAGGATCCATTTATGGGATTACACTCCATCAACACACCATCTCTAACCATTGGTCTTCAAACATTTTTTGTCCAAATGCCCTTTAAAAGGCTTTTAAACGTTCAGCATTATCTCCTGGATCACTTAAATTGATATCTTTCCTTTTTTTTGGCATAAAGTTACATTGTTGCTGAATACATTCAGTGTACCGTATATTGTGTATATGCCTCAAATATCTGTGGTAGACTTCATCTCAACGTGCAGTGCAGAGTTAGCTCCTTTGATGCTGCAATCCTCATGGCAAAGGCAGAGCTCTTGGGAAAATTAATTTTTTAAGTTAACCTCTCAGAAAAAGAATGACTTCATTCTTATTCAAATAAGTGTTAAGATGCACCCCACATAATGATTTCCATTCTGAAGTATAATTATTTGACAAATAAGTAAAACATGGAGAGTTGCCAAGAGTTTGTCCTCTGTGTAAAATAAAACACACCCCCTTTCTATTTCCTATAAAGCTCTTTTTGCTTTTTCTCAGGGGACAATGCCTCAAGACTAATGTATTTTGGAAAATTTTTTTGGTAGCCTTCACTATTGTAACATTCAGGAATGTAGGTTGTTATTGTTGTTGTTATGTGCTGTTGAGTCAGACCTGACTCATAGCGACCCCTCCTTGGGTTTCCGAGGCCGTATCACTATGGAAGTAGATTACCCAACTTTCCTTCCAAGGAGTGGCTGGTGAGTTTGAACCACCAGCCTTCTGGGTAGCAGTCAAGTGCCTTAGGCACTATGCTACCAGAGCTCCTCAGGAATGTAGGAGGTATGGCGTTTTGCACATATGTAGGGGTATAGGGGGGAAAAGACAATTATGAAAGTAGAGTTTGGAAAAGAGAGGCTTGATTAGATAAATTAGTCTTAAACAAATAAATTTTAGAGAAGTATATGTAAGGTATACTTACAAGGAGCTCTGGTAGCACAGTGCCTAAAGGCATCTGCCTGCTAACCAATAGGTTGGTGGTTCAAACCCACCAGCCACTCCATGGAAGCAAGACTGGGCAATCTACTTCTGTAAAGATTTACCACCTCAGAAACCCAATGGGGGTTGCTTTGAGTCAGAGTTGACTTGACAGCAGTTGGTTTGGTTTGGTTTTATACGTAAAGTGTGTGTCACGGTTCTATCCTTTAACAATACTTATGCAGTCTATATGCTGAGCAAATCACCTGAGAAGCTGGACTATATGAAGAAGAATGTGGCGTCAAGATTGGAGGCATCATTTATGACCTGAGATATGCAGATGACACAACCTTGCTTGCTTAGAGTAAAGATGACCTGAAGCACTTACTGATGAAGATCAAAGACTATAGCCTTCAGTATGCATTATATTTCAATATTAAAAATCAGTCAATCAATCAATCCTCACCACTGAGCCAATAAACATCTTCATGATAAATGGAGAAAAGTTTGAAGTTGTCAGGAATTTCATTTTACTTGGATTCACAATCAGTGCTCATGGAATCAGAAGTCTGGAAATCAGATGACATTCTGCACTAGGCATACATGTTGCAAAACAAACCAAAACCAAAATCACTGACTTCAAGTTGATTCCAACTCACAGCATCCCCTATTGGGTTTCCAAGGCGATAAATCTTGACAGTAGATAGCCCCGTCTTCCTTCTGCTGCAAAACACCTGTTTAAGTGTTAAAGAGGAGCTCTGGTAGCATAGTGCCTAAGGCACTTGACTGCTAACCAGAAGTCTGGAGGTTCAAACCCACCAGCCACTCCTCAGAAGGAAGATGGGGCAATCTACTTCCACTACTCTCCATGTTTTACTTATACTTCCTCAGAAATCCAAAGAGGGGTCGCTATGTGTCAGGTCCTACTCGATGGCATATAACAACAACAAGTGTTAAGGAGCAAAGATGTCACTTTGAAGACTAAGGTGCACCTGACCCAAGCCCTAGTTTTTTCAATAGCCTTAGGTGCATGTGAAAGAAGGACAATGAATAAGGAAGCTCAAAGAAGAATTGATGCATTTGAATTATAGTATTGGCAAAGAAGGAGCTCTGGTGGCATAGTGGCTAAGGCATTTGACCACTAACCAGAAGGCTGGTGGTTCAAACCCAGAAGCCGCTCCTTGGAAGGAAGGTTGGGCAATCTACTTCCTCAGTGATACTGCCTCAGAAACCCAAGGAAGGGTCACTACGAGTTGGA